TGTTTTGAATGTTATTGTATATTATATTTACAATAAGAAAAGTGTGTTATTTAATGTGGAGTTAGTCCGGGAATGACAATAGTCTTGTTATACATATGATTGCATATGAAGTGTATATCTAATGACTTAAATTTTTATAAAACATATTCGCTTTGATTATTATATTTATTCACAAATGCATGAAAAGCGAGAGAAAGTTTAATGTCCCTGAAGTGCACCTCAACTGAAGGCATACCTGCGCTGCGATCGCCGTTCAGATGCTCTGCGATAAGGGATGGACACAAGCAATGCTATTCAATGTTAGGCTCTGTGTATACCTATGGGGCTGAGAGAGTGAGCGTAACGTTGAGTTGAGGTGCAGTTTATGCCTAAATTAGCTGCGAGTGAGGGCTTTGACCAGCTTTTCATCCTTTCAGAAATGTTACGTAAAATAAAATCTCAGACTTTCTTATCCAACAAAGCGTTGAGCGGTTGCGCAATGAACTGAACTTATGACTCGATTTCATGTCAAATATTATTCAATACTATTAAAAGCACAGCACAGGAGGGGCTCCACAGCCTCTCAGACCCGACCCCCTCTTCAACAGTCACTACACTCTCTATACATAGCTATACATCAAAACCAAACAGTCTTAGAGTTTCTATAAAAAACACTTGACTTTAAAATCTTTTCATCTCAACAGTCCATTCACTGCAACAAAAACTAAATCTTTCTATTAATCCAATCATGAATTTCTTAAATAATTTCTAATTAAATGCATTAATTCTCAACATTTGTTTCAATGAAAAAATATATATTTTAGAAATAAATGTTCACTACTTTTGTATAGAAAATAATGTGAAATGAATGATTGTTTCGCAAAAACTAGCTCTTTGTCCACCATTTAGTGAATATGTTTTAAAATACAATTATTATAATTTGTATAAAATGGTTGCGACCGATAAATGGTAACACAAATACATACCCTTTTCCTATATTATCGACAAAATATTTCAATAAACTCTTATCTCTAAACAAAACAATAAAAATTAATAGTATTTTTGTGCCGAATATTCTCCGGCTTTAGTTTATGAATAAAAATAATTTCTTATAATATAATGAATAATTAATTTATATAATAATTTATTAGTTGATTGCTAGTTTGTGGATATCTTAGATTTGATTTCTTATATATACATGTATAATTACATTATTATTAATTCAATATAAATTGCCCAAGTTGTTTATGTTTTTAACTTTATTTTACAATTAATAACATTGTTATAAGTAAAAAATATTTACACTGATTTATAAATTATAAGTTTTCTATATAATGATTACGTAAATAGCATTAAAATATTATTTATTTTAAGAAATATGAACTAAAATATGAATTATTTAGAAATGAATGCAGAGATAAGGCAAATGTGAGGACATTTTATTTAGAGTTTGTTAACCAAACAATAAGAAAGGTTACAACAAATGTTGAATAAAAAGTTTGTCGATTATGTAAATGACTGACTGTTTGGCAATAGTTATGGCCGCAAAATATTCATTTAAATTGACTAATATTTTATTTGTATATTTGAATTAATGTTGTATTTAAATACTGTATTTCTTTTGAGACTAATTATTGGTTTTTCGAGAAAATGGCATTCATTTAACAAGTGATTAAATTTTTATTTATATCTCTCAATAAAAAACAAATAATATTTTTAAAAATATTTATTATAATTATTTATTTGAATGCTTTCCAAATTTATTTTACGATTTCTTATCCTTAAGCCTGAAAATTATTATTAAAAAAACACATGAATAATAATGTGTTTTCATTTTGTTTATTATTATATTTGATATAATGAAATAAATGCTAAAGTATTTCAATTAATGAAATTTTGATAAAATTTTTAATTTACATTAATTGACGTATTTATTTATATTCGCTTTTTCTGATAAATACACCACTTTATTAATTATTAATTAACATTACATATACATCAATAGTATATAATGGATACAATGAATATTTTTAAATCATGAGATTAATTTATATTTATAATGTAATATAAAGTAAGATTTACATTTATATATTTAGAACAATAGTTACATTAAATATTATTTTATTGTTTATTCTTTCGTTGATTTTTATGACAAAAATATTTTCTATGAATATATTATTAGAGGATAAATATTTGCTAATATTAGTTATGAACTTTAAAAAACATTTTGATGAATGACTTTAAAGAATAGTTTGTTTTTCTCAAATAATTTTGTTTTGTCTGAATTTTGTCTTATTTCATATGAATGCGATTATGCGAAGGCTATTATGTGTTTTGCATTTAGTTACCAATTATGGCTATTATAGCCAAGCAGTCATGTCTTGTATTAAGGGTTATCTTTATATCATTGCTGAAAGTCTCGTCCGAAGTGACACTTTATAACCTCTCGACTAAACTAAAGGGTTTCGCGTTTATTAGCGAAAACACATCATTTATATTCGAGTCATTAATTTGTTTTTAATTTATGGTTTTTATTAGATATTTGATTACACGGAGCTGTCGGCTCAGGCACAGGCGATATTACCCGTCGGCTCACCCATCGATGCCAACCAAAACAACTCTGTGTCCAACACGTCGTCGTCGACACCGGCTGTCATTACGAAAGGATCGGGTGGTCGGCGATCGTGGCATGAATACGGACGCAACTCAGAGATCGACAAAATACAGATACCAAAAATGTACGCATATTTGCAACATTTTGCGATTAAAAGTTAACATTTTCACTAAATTTAGAGTTTATTACACTCTAAAGAAAACTAAGTCTTTATCTAATTGTGTGCTCAGAGTATCCAAAAAAGGCATTTTAAAGACAGAACTGAAGTGACCTTTAAATCCTCGAATGAATTGAGTTTTATATATCGGGCGGAGCACTCATTCTCGGCTTTATTGCACTTTTTGGGGCTTTTATCCCAAAAGCAAACTAAATATGACATAAGTTATCACTTTAGCCAAAGGCTATGTCAGCCATAAGTTGTTTGCAAATGCATTCACTTTATTCTCATTTAGTATTCTTTTTAGTAATTAATATTAAAATTGAGTTTTTATTTCAAATCATAATTGATTTCATTTGCAAAATATAAACTTTCTTTAAATGTATGACATTTAGCATCATGTTAAAAATGTTAACAGTAACGATATTTTAAAACATCATGTTAGTAACCTCTTCACCACCACCACCAGGATAGATCTTCCATTAAGGGCAATTATGACAATGTTTTGCATACAATATTATATTATAGTTACTATAATTAATTGTTACACTGATAGAAATAAATTTGCAAAATGATGTAACACCATTGTTATCACATTAATAGTAATAAACATGTCATTAATAGGTAAAAGGTTGAGTTACCAGGAAGTTTGCCAGTAATACTAACACATAGTATATCTCAAAATATAGGATTTTAAATGTAATAAATAAATAATAAATTATTTATAAATTTGATTTTAGACGTATTACTACTTCGTACAGATACTGTATTTAGTGATTTTAGTGGACATTATTGTTTGAGACAATAAGCGATTGTTATCTTTAATTGTAATAACTATATGTGAGATTGAGTGAAAATAGTAGTTATGAATTGGTATAATGTGTTATTTGATGAATGCTTTTGTTGACACAACAGACACTCAGACGTGGGATTCAAGTATTTCTTGGAGTCTCCGATATCGACGAGTCAAAGACGAGAGGACGATCGGGTCACTTACATTAACAAAGGCCAGTTCTATGGCATCACATTAGAGTTCATTCCAGACCCCGACAAACCATTAAAGAGTTCAATGGTTAAGGTAGAGCTCCCAAAGGGTTATGGCTATCGAGATGGACTAATTGTTTGATTGCTTTATTTAGTCACTTATTATGCTTGTGTTTCGTGAGGAGAAATTGCACGACGAAGAGGTGAAGGCCTGGCAGTTCTGGCACAGCCGACAACATAGTGTCAAACAACGTATTCTTGACGCCGACACCAAGAATTCGGCCGGAATTGTGGGTCCCATCGAAGAAATAACACACAATGCCATCGCTTTCTATTGGAATCCATTGGAAGGACCGGCAAAAGTATAACTCAAATGACATTAAGATTAAAATTCACTAAATATTTATTATTATTTCAGGTCAACGTTGCCGTCCAATGCCTCAGCACTGACTTTAGTAATCAAAAAGGAGTGAAAGTAATAAAGAGTGCTTTTTTATGGCAAAACGTGTGCCTTTTATTAATTGAATGTCTTTTTAAAGGGCCTTCCATTACATTTACAACTCGACACTTTTGATGACTTTCGGGAGGGCAGTACACCTGTCCATCGGGGCTATTGTCAGATCAAAGTATTCTGTGATAAGGTATTATTGCTATGAGTTTTTGTCGAAATTATTAATTCTAATAAAATGCTGACAAAAAGGGCGCCGAAAGGAAAACACGGGACGAAGAGAGAAGAGCTGCCAAACGAAAACTTTCCGCCACTGGAAGTATGAAATGCTTTTTAAATAAAATTATAACTATTTATAGTTTTAAAATGATGCCATTACTATTATTATGTATTTTGATTATTTCAGTGAATATTTTTAAAACGCTAACTAAATCACTAAAAACACTATTTAACTATAAATTGATATTAATTACATAAAAATGATTATCCATTTGAATAGATGGTCGTAAAAAGATGGAAGAGATGTATCACCAGACAACTGAAAGATCAGAGTTTTATTCAATGAGTGATTTGTTAAAACCTCCGGTTTTATTCACTCCGAGTGATGACATTGAAAAAGTAGTTTAGTACACGATTACCGTCTATAATGTGAGCTATACTAACCATTTGCCATCCCATGCATTATAGATAACATCGGCTGATATTAACTTCTATGGCGGACACAATTCAAATGATATGAGTTCTACGGAATACGACACCGATTCTCAATTGCCTTCTATTTCCACACCCATCTCAACCATCACAGCCACTATAGCACCGACTATAGGGTATTGTCTATATTGTGATGCATTTTAACATTAATACATTAACATAATGTGGTGTTTATGTGATTAGACGCGAGCGAACGGTCGACCCGTTGTCGGCTTCATTAGAAATGGCAATATCTCCGTGTCCTCCAAAGAAAATCAAATTAGAGAGATATCCCGATACTAACGAGAGGGGTATGCAAGACATGAACTACTGTTATGCCCAATGTCTGACACTGTTATCTCATTCAACAGTTTTATTATATGCGAAGCAAGAAAACGAAGAAATCTTTCATCCCTTGCATTTAGTGCCCCCAACTTTAGTCGGATTAGCGCTCTCTGTACGTGAACTACATTTGTTTTAACATTGATTTATTACAATTTTTATTCATTTCATATTTTTAGATCGAAAACAAGTACAAACTCGAAGCGAAAAATATCAGAAATATTTACAAACGATGTAAAAAAGGGTAAGTCTTCTTTACTCTCTCTCTCTCTCTCTCTCTCTCTTTTTACGACCATCTATTCAAATGGATAATCATTTTTATGTAATTAATATCAATTTATAGTTAAATAGTGTTTTTAGTGATTTAGTTAGCGTTTTAAAAATATTCACTGAAATAATCAAAATACATAATAATAGTAATGGCATCATTTTAAAACTATAAATAGTTATAATTTTATTTAAAAAGCATTTCATACTTCCAGTGGCGGAAAGTTTTCGTTTGGCAGCTCTTCTCTCTTCGTCCCGTGTTTTCCTTTCGGCGCCCTTTTTGTCAGCATTTTATTAGAATTAATAATTTCGACAAAAACTCATAGCAATAATACCTTATCACAGAATACTTTGATCTGACAATAGCCCCGATGGACAGGTGTACTGCCCTCCCGAAAGTCATCAAAAGTGTCGAGTTGTAAATGTAATGGAAGGCCCTTTAAAAAGACATTCAATTAATAAAAGGCACACGTTTTGCCATAAAAAAGCA